GAGAGAGAGAGAGAGAGAGAGAGAGAGAGAGAGAGAGAGAGAGAGAGAGATTTTCTTTGTGTTTTTTCCCCTTCCCTTCCTTCTTCCTCTTGCTCTAGGCCCACTAGCTCTCCTCCCGCTCTGCTCGCTCCACCACCCCCCCCCCCCCCCCCCCCCGCCTCGCTCTGCCCCCCCGCTCGCTCCACCCCCCGCTCGCTCCACCCCCCACTCGCTCCGCCCCCCACTCTCTCCAGCCCAAAGTCCACTGTAGCTATCTTCAGATACCCACATGAGGGCATCAGATCTCATTACGTATGGTTGTGAGCCCCCATGTGGTTGCTGGAATTTGAACTCATGACCTCCTGAAGAGGAGGAGGTGCTCTTAACCACTGACCCATCTCACCAGCCCCTTCTTTGTGTTTTATATTACCCTCTAAGAGACAGCCCTCTGCACGTTACATTGCACGTATCTCCCCACCAGAGAGGCTTTTCAATGTTGGGGATAAATCATCATCCAAAGAATCCCGGCCCAGAAGAACGCAAATCAGAATCTCTGAGTGTTGCTGTGACTAATACCTGTCAGGAAGTAACCTGGGGTGAGGGTGGGGGATTGTATTTATTTTGACTTACAGTTTGAGGGAATCCAGGTATAGTCCATCATGGCAGGGAGGGCCTGGTGACACGAACGGGAGACATCTGATCACACTGCATTCACAATGAGATGCAAAGAGAAAACAGGAAGCACAGCCAAAGTAAAAACCCCAATCCCCATCCCCAGTAACCCACTTCTTCCAGCAAAACTCCACCCACTAAAGGTTCCACAGCCTTCCCAAACAGTGCCATCATCTAAGGACCCAGTGTTGAAACACAAAAACCTATGACTGACATTCCCCGGGCTCAAACCACAGCCCCGAGGAGGGGTTCGATGGATTGGTGTTTTCTAATAGCTTTCTTATATAAGTAAGTGTTTCTTAAAGTAAAAGCTTGGAAATTGCATGTTCTGCAGGTGGTATGTATTCCCTCAGGTGATACGAAAACCTTTCTGAATTCTTTGCAAGCCTGAAAAAGAAAAATAACAAAATCCACACTTTGCAATCCAATTTGAGCTAGCGATATAGGCACAATATAAAAGTAAAGCACTGCCTTGTGTTTAATTGAAAACAGTTCGCCTCGCTGCCTGTTCACTCTACTGACGACCTTGGGCAAATAAAGTTAAAAGGCCACATGCCGTACTGCCCAAATAGTCAGATGTGATGTCTGGAAGGGCCACATCAGCACTGCCTTAACTTCACAGAACCTTGGGGCCCAGCTCAGTGTTACTTAATAGGAATCTTTATTTTAGCAAAACTCTATATTGATCTATTACCCTACCAAACAATCGACATACCTAAAAAGGTTGAGAAGCAGTCTCTGCTCCATCCAGTTACTCTTGGCTTCCTTAGAGGAAGTTTAAGAACTTGATCTATCGCAACTGGTAAAGTTTCCGTGAGGACGAGACAGATTGTTCTCAGGTTTCAAGGGTTCGAATTCTCCACTTGTTCCCCATAAACAAAAACTGGCTTGTTCCTAATGAAACGACATAGGTACATTTGTGTTCTTTTAACTGTCTCCTGATGCTTACAAACTGCTCAGCTGAAGCGAAAGGGCCAGAGGCCAGCAGCACAGAACATACCCCTGTGCCGTATGTACATTTGACTTCTGACATGAGCAGTGACTGCCCAGACACCCGAATGGATTTTTATAATGTAATCAAATGTAACTTAATTTCCTTTTCCGTATTTTTGGAAGGGAATAGAAATGTAATCAGAATTCACAGTGATTTGTATTTCACTCGGAAACTTTTGGCATTGTAGGCATATGAGGGCCAGGGATTGGGTTACAGTCATCTGATGATAACTCAAAACCTAAGTCTCCGGCCCCTCCCACCTTTATTGGTAGTTAAGAAATCTATCTATGCGTCAAGACTGCCTCATTTGTGACAGCCAGTCATGGATTGCAAATATCTGAAAGTTACACATGAAGTTTAAGCTGACCGAGGAAAATTATACATTCATATTGGTCCAAATAGTCAAGGGATTATTTGAAACATAACCTCAGTTCTAATTCCAAATCCTCATTAGCAAAGCTAATTGTGTAAAATATGTTACCACAGAGATGATGAGCCGATAATAGAATATGAAAAAAGAATCCAGCATGTCTTTATTATTGTCTCTATTTTCTAATTAGCTAATATTCATCTGCAGGGTATAAGAGTCTATGTAAAACCCAAGAGGAATTTACAATTCCTTCCTGGACTGTGACCTGCCTACATGTATCATTCCCAGGGCTACAGTGTCTACCCCAGGACCTTGTAAAGTACCTATCAGTGACTTCATCTAGACTCTTCAAAACTTGTTTCTGCTTATAGTTGTTTTTAGAAGAGATAATACCCTAGATGAAGTCTGGGAAAAGGAAGGGGCGGGGTGCAGTTCTTAGCCGAGTTAAGGCAAGCCTGGGACAGCAACGT